TTCTATAATTATATTTTATTAATTTTCATAAACATTTACAGAGATTTTGGGCTTCCACTCATTCATTGTTGCACTATTCTCTCTACCTTCCTCCCAGTTTGTTCTTGTCCAAATGCCACAGTGCTTGTCAAAGCCAGTTCTGATTAATCTTCTTTGTCAGTGTATCCTTTGGGAGGCAAGGATTTTTAACTTCTGTCTCACATAACTTGGGTGCATGGCCAGGCAGGACCAGTCCTTGGAAAAAGACATCATGCTGAGAAGGGTGGAGGGACAGCACAGGAGAGGAAGATCCCGGATGAGATGAATTGACATTGTAACTAGGGTAATGAGGGTTGATGAAAGTACAGAGCTATCATACGTAGGAAATGCATTGAGGGCGACTCGATGGCACATAACAACAACATCCTTTGGCAGGTTGAGGTCATGGACATTCCCTCCGTGCTTCAAGAACCAGTACCTACTGGACTAAAACAGATATGGATATCACCCAAAGACATAAGCTTCTGAGCTGGATAATCATACTGTCATTTCTAATCAAGATCATGATGTGGTGACCACTGCATACTGAATGAAGTCTTCTAATGAAAGATTTTCTGAAAGAGATATATTTCAGGACCTAAGGAAAATCCACTGAGTTACACGACAGGGAGGAAGTGTTGCTAATTGCCTTATCAATTTTCTAAATAATTCTCATGAACCCCTTTTTATATATTTCATTTAATACATTTCTATTAACAGGGGGAAAAATTCTCAAACTTTTGTTAGCACATTATTGCCACATTTTCACATGGGGGAGTTGTGTTTCTATGAGGCTGGTCATGTTCCTGTGTATGAGCCTGGGGGCCCTAGAAGTGTGATGTTCTTTTACATGAGTTGTTAATGTCATAGTGGTCATTAGGATGATGGGCCTATCATAAAGGAGAGAGTTTGTACTGCATTTGCCATGCTCACTTCATCGAATCATTTAACTCATTAACTGAAAGATAAAGTTTATGTTTATTTACCAATATAATACATATATGTAATTGTTATACATTATTTATAAGGTAGAGAGATACAACTCAGTGAAACAAACTATACTTAGAAATAAAAATATACACCATATATGTCATCACATTATTAATTGCTTTTTAACTTTTTATCTACATTGATACACCTCACCAAAAGGACTCATTGGCATCTCTCTGCTGAATGACCACAAAATACATAGAAACCAGTAGATGTATACTCAGGTATTGGATATTCTCAGTTCTTCTGAACAGGTAACAGTAGTTGAGCTATAATCCTTCATGGAAGGTGAAACTGCCCATTTAAGATCAATTAGGCAAAAAAGACATCACTAAAATTGAACAGGAAATAAAAACACAACACTTCTAATTAAAGAAATTGTAGACTGTATGTTACACTGGAAAGTAGCCTACTCCAGAACTCAGTGTCTATTATTGATTTAATTCCTTCCAAACAAGGAATTCCTTCCTTATCCTTCCAAACAAATGTGTTGTAAATCCAATTCTCTCTATTGGTGGTTATAATGCTATTTGGGAATGAATTGCCTTTGTTACATTAATAAGATAAGTGTTCAGTGTCCTAGAGTTGCTCTTTTTTGAGATATAAAAGAGAATAAGCAAGCAAACAGAGATAGGGGGGCACAAGTAAATCACATGAAGGTCACTCTGAAGCTCAAAGGGACAAGGGCTGTCCTCCAGAGCTGACAGAAAAATACACTTTCCTTGAAAGATGCCATCCAGAATTCAGACTTCTAGATGGACAATCCCATCTTATACAATTTATTACCTCTGAAAACCTAATAGAGGGTCAGCTATGAGTCGGTTCTGACTTAATGACACACAACCACAACAACAATGATCTCGTAAACAGTGAGAAATAAAATTTCTGTTTGCAAAAACCACCCATCTGGTATTTCTATTATAGTAGTACTTCTTGTTGTGGTTAGGTGCCACTGAGTAGCCCATGGGTCACAGTGATACTAGGAACAGATCTGAATCTTGTCTTACACTGCACTATCCTTATAATCTTTGATAGGCTCAAGCCAGTCTAACAAAATACAGCATCAAGCTTCCTTTAGGACAGAAAACAAATCTCTTTTAGAATCATCAGTTTCATCTTAGCAAGACCTTAGGAGAGATTTGTGATGGATAAGAAGATGAACTTTAATTCTAAGGGAAATATAAAAGAATTTTTAAAAAAAGCAGAAGGAAATTAAATTTTTTAGAAGCGAGTCTTAGTGATTCCAAGCCTGATGCTGTGCTGCTACTTTCAATGTTAATGAATTGACAAAGACCAGATAGTTGAATTGGTTAATAGTCCTGGCCAGATAAGTACACTGCTTCTTCTTCTCAATTATGTTCTCACAAATGAGTTTTCCAATTGACGTTCCTTGAAATATTCTATGCTGTAGTTGTTGTTGTTAAGTGTATTTTAAATCTCTTTCAACTCAAAGAAATCCTGTGGACAATAGCACCATGCTCATAAGATGGGCATTTGACCCATACCAAACAGATACTGTCTCATCTCTCATACTTTGGACATGTAGCTATGTGAGGCTAATTCCTTGGAAAGGGATATCATGATGGTTGGAAAGATGAAGGGCCAGTGAAGGATAGGAAAAACCCAATGAGATGGATTGACAGAGTAATTGAAGCAAAGGGCTCAAGTGTGTCAGAAATGATAAGGATGGCACAGGATAGGACAGGGTTCAAGTCAGTTGTTCATAGAGTTGCTGGGAGTCATAAATAACTCAACATCACCTAACAACAAAAATCTAACACCTCTGTCTAACAGATGGTCAGGGGTAGAAGGAATAAGTAAAAAGAAAAGTCATAGTCATTGGTGTGGAGTCAGAACAGACTCTTGGCTAACCTTCTTTTGGGTTTTTGGAGGCCGTAAATCAGATGAGAAGAGACTGTCATCTTTCTCCCCAGGAGCTGCTGTTGGATTAAAACCAATAGAGAGGTGCCATTTTGGAGTTTGCACAGTAAGTTTCTAAGAACTACACCATCAGATCTCTGTACTTTTCCTACTTTTGCATAGAAAGAATGAAAGGGATAAAAAGGAGAGTGAAATAAGGAGTATACTTCTCAATTTTCTAGCATTCAATTTATGTTTTGAGACTAACACCACAACAACAAAAAAGATGTCATAAATGTCCATAAAATGAATGGAAACAGAAGAATAAATATATATTTCAAAATATTAACATCAAAGTATGTCTTGACAATGGTAGCCTACCCACTTACATTTTTGAGAAGAAAGAAAATTAACATCAAAACAGAAAAAAGTAAAAGAAAATAAGTGTATAGTATTAGTAGATACGAGTGCTACTCAAGTTCAACCTGGAAATTCCTTCACTAAGTTAGTTGAATCTATTCCAAAGTTCTTGTGTAAATTATGTAACAAACTGGGGCACTAGCCCTGTCTCCTAGATTTCTAAATAGTCACAGACTCTATAGGGAAGTCTTAATGCCCTCAAGACTACAGGTATAGACATGCTTCTATCTTTATTCTTCGTGAAGTCTGTTTTTCTGTAGACAGTGGGAAGTGTCACTTCAGTGCCACATCAGGGCTCCATTTTTCCTGTTTACTAGAGAAAAAAACAGACTAAAGAACTCACATGTACTGGGTTTGAGGTGGAGGCACAGCTATAAAGTAAAATGTGGGGAAGAAAATGATGGAAGAGAAACCTATCATCTTGAGCATAAATGACTTCTTGCTTGGAAAAAAATGAATCTCAATTGCCCCAGACCAGCCAGGCTTGCTTGCCTGGACACATGTTCCCCCCTGGCCTAGTTCCTCTGCTCAGCAGAACCTGTCCCCAGTGGGGGCAGCAGCATTCAAATACCAGGTGGGGCTGAGGGAACAAAGAGTGAGTGCCAGACTGACACTGTCTCATTTCACAATCACTGAGGCAGACAATGTGAACTATCTCCAGCTTGGGTGTAAAAGGCACCCCACTAGCATCAGTAGGCACTCATCCAAATATGGAAATTCAACTACAAAGTTAAACAAGATCCATTTTCAAAGTAGAGGGGGAAAAATAGCTTTATACCCCTTACCCATGGGACCATCAGGACATCCATTTGGCAAGGCAAATATTCCTTTGTTGTACTTAAACCGTCTCTTACATGGGGTCTGGGAGAGTTGAATACCAATGAGAGCCAGAATGCAAGTTGGACGCAAACCACTCATCTTAACGAGACTTCTTGATGGCCTGGTAGATCATTCATGCCATAGGGCAGAACCACCCTTCCATAAGGGGCTTAAAAAGCAGACCCTTGTGTCCTATTTAGCACTTGAACGAAGGCCAGTGCTCTGTGGCAGAATGGAGTATTAATGCATGCACTGGATGGTGTTTTTCCAGACTCGATGAATACCGTCAGCTAAAGATAGCACAGTAATATAACACTTCACTCATGGTCTTTTTCTTTTTTTTTTAAGAAAACTAAATTAAACATTTGAAGCATAGTCACATAACAGGAACAGGAGAAACCAAACTTGAATAAACTCATAGGATAAAGGAAAACAGAAATACATAATAGGAAAGCAAAAGCTAGAAAGAAGCCAGTTTCATGCCTAGCACAACCACAAAATCCGCATGTGGTAGGATCTAAATTATACATTTTCTCCTGTCTCTATTTCCCCTTACCTTTTAAACATGACGCTAAGGGTGTTGACACAGAGCTATTCATGGGCACGCTCTAAGATCCATTAGGTGGGCATGAGAAATAAAAGAAGCAGCCAATGCAAATGAAATCCACCCTCACAAGCGTAATCACAGAGGTGTTTTTATAGCTTTCAATTGCTATTGTGACAATAGTAGCACAAAAGGGTTTATTAGTAAAGATAAAGGCATTTTTAGAGTTGATTTCACTACTAGAGTTATCTTGGAAATGGAAAACTTGAATAGTGTAAGAATCTAAACTGTTCTCCTGGTCTTGAGGTTGTAATATGGGTTAAGCAGAGTTTAACATTTTCTGCTTTTTACCAATAAATTGCTCACGTGATTTGCCTTTAAAAGGCTTTGTGACTCAGATATTTAACTCGGCATAACGTCCTCCAGGCTCGCCATGTTGTGTAAGAGTTTTAAGAGTGCGTTGTTTTTCAATACTGCATAATACTCCATTGCAAACACTACACAACACTACTCTTATAAAATAGAACAGACATGGTGGGGGTAGAGAATGGAAAAGAGGGATAATGAACACTGCACTAGAACATATGAGGGGAAGAACTGTCTGGAAGGAATATATGATTAAGAGTAATATGCATGACAATAATCTGGAAAAGGGCTGCACTGAGGGGTGGGTTGGGGTATGAAGAGGGGAGGGAGGGAAGAAAATGTTTGACAGTTTAAAAAAGTAATAAATATTATTTTAAAAAGGTATTGGGCCTATGATTAAAGCATGTTCCACACATAGCAGAGCTTTTTTTCTCTTATTAAATATTTCTAATGAAATGATACACAATCTCAGAGAATAAGAAGCTTCTGCTTGAAATTGTCCTCACATCCAAAAAGTGAACAGATTATCCCTTCACTTTTGGTTTCCTAGTTTGTTTGGGTTTGGGTTTGTTTGTTTTTTTCCCTACATGAGGGTACAAATGGGTGGCATGACTGGTTTTCAAAAAAGAATTCTTTCCCCAACCACTCCAACCCTGGAGAAAAAGTTTATCCTTCCCAGTGGCACAGCCCTATCTCTTCTACTTGACAATTGTGATTCTGAAGTTCATATGACTGTGACATTATTTCAAAGGTTGCAGTTTTAAAGACCAGCAATAAGCAGATACCTCATGCATAGTTTCTATAGTGTTTCATGGGAATGGATCAGAAGACATGAGGAAGTGGCCTTGGAAAATGTTTCACTACTTGGAAAGCAATGAACATGTCTGGAGAAAAATTCAGAAAGAATGGCAGATACAGTGCCTAATGTTCCTTCCCTACAAATTCAAAGATGGCTGATATGTCTAAAAGCAAAGCATTTATCAAATGAACCCATCTGATTTCAGACCAAATAAATAATCAAGTCTGAGAAATTAAATGTGTAACAGTACATGAGACTTGGAATTTTTTTCTAGTTGTATAACCACCACTTTGAAAAGATATAATTTAATGATTGAATGCAATTTCCTTGGTCTAAATGCATTCCCAGATTTTTAAAGCCCAAAAAGATCTCAAGCGTGATTTCACCTTCCATGCTGGAGACACCTTATATGCAATCAGCATCATTCTGTCACAGGAGGTTTGTGTGTCACAGTGATGCTGAACAGGCTTCCCAAACTAAGAGATACTACTTCTGAAAGTCAGAAAACCTGTGGACCACAGTGGTCCAATCCCACCAGGCCTGGTGCCAATGAGTCAGGGGCCAATCAGACAGCAGCTAATATCAACATCATGATCTCTCTAGTGATCTGGAAACATAATGAATAGCAAATACAATGCAACCCATCAGTCACCCAGTTACAAAGAGAAAAAAAAATTAAAGTGGAAAAAGGTAGATGACATCTTGCTGAGTGTGAACTCCACTGGGGGAGATGGGATGAAGGTAAGGTGTGGTGGAGTGTCTGTGTCACTAGACCACTTGGCCTCTTGGGCACTCTGCAGTATTGGAAGGTGGGCGGGCAGCTACACCCGCTGAGCCATCATCAGGGTCAAGGCTCTGGAACTGCTGATTTTCCCAAAAATCTTCTCACAGTGGCAGCAACCACAGCAGTTTTCCTGCAAAGCAAACAAAATAAGAATCTTGTTAATTCAGCAGGGCTTTAAAAATTATAATTAGCTGGTTATGACCCTTAGGAAAACCACAGATGATTTTTTACAACATGTATATGTGGGTGCAAGAAAAACACAACCAACAAAACTTCTTAAAGGATTCCAAAACTGACTAAAGGGGTTTTTTTTCTTCTTCTTATTTCAGTTTATGCAAGATTTCTTAGCACTATTTGCAATCTTGAAGGACAAAGCTTCTTTGTTTTCGTCTGAAGTTTAACCAGCCCCCAAAGCTATGGCTGCCCATTCATTTTGTAGTCAAAGCAAATCAAGCATGTGAGTATTTCCATTTGCTTTTACCACCACATCTGACCGGAACTGGTCAGACCACACTATTCCCCTAGATTAGCCCTCCCTGTCAAAGGAGTTACCCTAAATTTACATTTCACAGGCTGGCAAAAGATGCAATAGAAATGAGGAATTAAACATCTTAGGTTGATTTTAGGAATGTTTCCTCAGCACATCAAAAAACCTCTACAAATTGCAGGAGATTTATGTGCCTCAATTTACATTGTGGACCACAATTTAACCCTACAGTCTGGAAGCCTTTCTATTTCCACAGGAATAATCTTCAACCATTAGATTTTAAAAGTCAATATTATCTTAAATTTGGTTTTACTCATAAAATATTTTGCCAAAAGAACCCATATCATCCTGGCAGGATTATCTTCTGAAGTAAGATTGTTCCCAGAGTTAATATCTTCATTTCAAATTTTAATTCTAAAAGAGAAAATAATTAAAAGGGTGGGGAAACAGGAGGAAGAAGCTGAAAAACACCACATCAACCACTTAGACATGATGATTTCTGGTCTGTGGTGGAATCCAGGTGAACTCCTGTGTTTAAATGTAACT